AACATTGAAGATACACATTTTTTTAATGTAATTAAAGTGACCCCATTGAAGATAGTCATTTGACTAATCGATCATACACCACGCCCAATGAGACCATCTCTACCTCTCACCTCTTCTCTTGAAATCAAATTGGAGAGATTTGAAGATGCATGAAGACCTTGTTGAAGAAAATGTAAAAGGAGACAACTATGGATGATCTCTCCTCAAGCAAAGAAGTCTCTATCCGAATGGAGGAGAAATAAAAGCGGTCTTTCACATCCTTCTCAAATTCCATGTGGACAATTTACATGAAGTGCTCCATCGAATCCTTAAATTCAAATGCTCCTTGATATGAGCCTAAACTATCTACAAATTCAAATGCTCCTTGATATGAGTTTAAACTATCTATAAAGCTCCTCGATATGAGAAAAAACTATCTAAATCCACAAATTCAAATCCTCAAATTCACAATGCTCATTGATACAAAATTAAATTATCTACAATGCTCCTTGATATGAGCGTAGACTGTCTAAGAGGCTCTGTGACACAAGCATAAAAGATCCACATACCAAGATCTCTTTGACACGAGAATAAAATGTCTATCATAAAAGAACAAATGCGTTGTTACAAATTTGACACGTCTAGCGGGACACAAAATAAAATTTATTGTTACACTCCCTTATTTGGTCATCCATTGAAGGTATGGAGAACTTACAAGTTTGTTTCGCCTCAAAATATTAATAGGGGTGTATTCAATTGAGATTTCAAGTGACATTTCGAGACTTTATGAAATTTAAGACATGCTAAGATTTCCAGATTTTGGAGAAATTCCATGAAATCCTTACTCTAGAGGTGGGATTTGGAGTGAGATTTCATATAAGGTTTTTTTGTTTAGACATCTCACCAAATCTTAAAAAGTATTAACAAGTCTTAGTCTCAAAAAAATTAAATACACCAGAATTTTGCAAAACTTTTCAAAATCCTAATTGAATACCCGAAATTTTTTAAAAGTCTTAACAAATCTAAATTAAATACATTAAAAATTTCTAAAGTTTTAAAAAGTATGTAGAAATCCTAATTAAATACACTCCTCTAAAGTTTGGATAAATTGGATATTTTACTTTTCTTTCACTGTCCAGATAAAATGAAGCATACCATAACTGAAAGGATTGAGTTATCATTCAAACTAGTAAGACACCCGCGCGTTGCGCGCGGCCTGCTGTTAAAAATGACTTGGATGAATTATAATTTAATTAAATAAAAAATATTTATAAAATATGTATAGAGGTAATAAAAAGTAAGATGAAAATTTTATTTATTATATTTTTTAAATTAATTTCTTAAATATAATATTAGTAGTTGATGTTCTGTATTTGTTATATTATCAGATAATAGGGATTCATGACTCTAGTTTAGAAACAACAACATATACATGATCGTGATTACAAATTATCATATGTTTTTTTTTTTCATAAAAAAATACAAATCTAATAAATTTAACATTACCAAAAATATTTGTGATATTCAATGAAATTAATGTTTGTCACATTAATAATCTCCTTCAAACTTTTTTCCTAAAAATGCCTCCATATTAAACATAATTTTTTATCAATTTACTATTATATTTAGATAAACTGATATAGAATAATTGAAATATATATGTACAAATATGAGCCAGTTAAAAAAATATAAATTAAATATTTAGTAAAAAATACAAAAATGACTAAACGTTTGTTTTCAAATTAGATTGAAATAATTTTCATTTTTTAATGACAAAATAAATTTCAATTTTATTATTTGCAAAATAAGTCACAATGGCATCCAAGTAAAGAAGTTATTCACTATTTTTGAGATATATTTCATATGGATATGTAGGCTCGTCTCTAATACTCGTAGATGGTACTTTTTTTGGGGAAAATATTATTCATTTTAGTTGAATAAATAACATTATTATTTTTATCTCTTTCTATGTGTATTTTTTATTTTTTGAACAAATTTATTAGAAAATAAAATAAGAAAATATAAAATTTGATTGTGTAAATTTACAATTTTTTATTATACATATTAATGAATTCTTGTAAATATATGACGTTACTACAAAATGTGTAAGACATCCAACTATTTTATTTTTTATTATTTCTTTATTTTATTTCTAAATCCTTGTAGTTGTACATTTCAGATCTCATGAGTTAAAACGAAAAATAATAATGGCCATGATGAGAATTTTTATTTCCTTTTAATACTTTATTCAATTTTTTTTTTATCATTTTAACAAATGTTTTTTTTTTGGGAAATTAAATGATAATATTATTATTACTATATCTACATCTAGTCTTTTCAAGTATATGTATAATTGAAAATAAATTGTTGTGTTGTTGTTTCTACTACTACTACTACTACTATTATTATTATTATTATTATTATTATTATTATTATTATTATTATTATTATTATTATTATTATTATTATTATTATTATTATTTCTTGAGAGCTTATGGTATATGGATGGACAATAATTTAATGTGACTGGTTATTTTTCTATTCTTTTATGAAGAAGCCACATTTTTCTTAATTATTTTAGACCAAAAATCAACAATAGTATTACATATGTATTCTTCAATCGTCTCCCCCAATAATCCGTCTCCCCCAAATCTCAACCTCCATCTTTCCTCGCAAGGTAAGCTCCCTCAGCCGCCGTATGTGATTGCCGTTGGACGGTCTCCACCGCTCATCCATGGCCGCGGCGCTCCCGTCCTCTGTCTCGCCGCTACTGGGCTAGGGCTAGGGTTCCGGCGGATTTTTTTCCGCTCGAAGGTTGCCGGATTTCAGTGGTTTCGGGACATGGTGGGGTGTGGTCGTGCGTGGATAATGCTTGTGTCGTCTGGGTCGGCTTTGGCCGGGGTGCCTCTTCTCGGCCAATTTGGAGGGCTACCGATGGTGGATTTCTGGGTTCAGCAGGGGTCTGGTCACCGGCTCCTCGATCATGGGGGGGTGGCGGGTCGGGGCTTCTCCTTGAGGGCTGGGTTGTTAGGATCTGTTTCGTTCGAGCAGGGTCGGAGCGGTCGAGCATGGATACCACTCGTATCCTTCCTCCCTTTTCTCAGTTTCTGAGTTCGAGTGAGGCCGACGGTCTCCGGAGTAGGCTAGTGGTGTTAGGCTGCTTCGGAAGGGTGTAGGATCGGCTAGTAGTGTTAGCTGGTTGGGGGGTGTTTTTGGCTTTCAGCGGATAGAGTGTCGGTCGTGTTCTCAAATTGTTTTTTAGGCTTGGGTCATCGTCTTGCTAGACTTTATGTAGTGGTGGGCGTGGCATCGGAGCTTCGGAGCTCTCCTCGGAATCGGCTTTGTCTGATGTCCTTTTCGGATGTATCTGCTGAGGGAGGTTGTTCTGTTATATGTAGTTGTTTTTTGGTTATTGTGTTCTTCGTTTGTTTGTTCTTGTTTTTGTCATTTGTGTTGGTGTTTGTATTAATTATTGTGTTTTAGGTTTAGGTCGGCCTCAGTCAGCTCGAGTGTGAACTTATTATACTTTTGGGACCACACACTCGGGCATTACCCTGTTGGGGTCGTTTTAGTGTTGTGTCTTTGTGTTGCGTGGTCATTACCCTGTTAGGGTCGTATCTAGACGGGCTTCGTCATGTCTTCTCATTTTATTCAGCTGGTGGCTGCGTGCTGTCAGCTGGTGATTGTAATTTGCATTTTTGTGCCTTATATAGTATCTCTATCGTTCCGAAAAAAAAAAAAAACATTAACTACAATTATATTACTTTTTATATTTAGTATATTATTAGTACTTATGCTCTTATAACCCCAAAACTCTAAAAATAATAGCGCATGCCAATTGTTTTAATGAAGTATATAGATCCAACATATTCTATAATAGTCATACAATTTTAATAAATAAATTTTATGGTGCAAACATTGTTATAATTTTAAAATATGTATCACGCCTTATAAATTGATAGTGTCTAACTTAAATTAATATTCGCTTCACTTTATATATTTTTTACAATGAGATTTTTTAAGAATTTATTACAAATGTACAGTTACGAATTGAGGAAAAATCTAAATCTTACACGAATGTAAAGTCTTCAAATATATTATTCATAAATACACATTTGGAACTAATATGAATATTTGTATTATGTTTTTTGGTAAGCATATGTAGCTACTATAAAATGTGAAAGATTTATAAAATTTAACCTTTATTTATTTCAAATCTTTGTATCTACATAATTCTGATTTTAATTAAAGTGGAAGAACCAAAAAAAAATTTGTATAGGACGTGGTAGGCATAATATTTTTTTAACTTTATATTTTAAATATTCCTTATTCTAATTCCAAACTTAATTTATTACATATAATATAATTACTATTTCTTCTTAATTTTAGCAAATAGTGAACTACAGTAAATATGATTGTATGAATAATCCATCATTCAAAGTAATATTTTACATGATAATATGATTCCTCTTTTCTTGGTATCATTTTAATGGTTGTGTTACATACAATCATTTTGAAAGTAGATTAATCATGTATTTAGTTATAGAATCTATATGATCATATTTATTTTTTTGTGTTTTCAAGAAGCCCACCTTGTCCTCAAAGTTAGTAATTTTGGCCCAATTTTTAATCAATTAATATACTACAAATTTTAAGTGCAATAAATATACTAATGGATTGAATTTAGGACAATGCATAAAATAATGTGAAAGTTATTTACCATAAAATTTATACAAAAATTAATGCAAAAATGAGAAAATTCCAGCTGCTTCAGTTATATATATATATAGATGATTGATGCACGGGTTTAGTCACGGACCACGGTGTGTCTATCCGAAGTCTACCTTTCTGCAATCATGTTTTCCAAACGTAAGATAGATAGGATAGAGGGGGTTATCCTGTGTCACGAAACAAACGAAGCCTGAGGATCATACAGTGAAACCGCTCTCAATCAATAAGGGTTTCAAATTCCTGCAGCATTTCGATTTCTCCACATAACCTCGAGAAAGATTGTGTTGCTGATGGGGAAGGCCAAAAGGAACCAGGCCATTGTCATCTCGACCTCCGACGACGATGACAACAACGATGCAGATTTCTCACTGGAAGCAGGTTACCGTTTTTCAGAATCAGCTCCAAACAGGAAGAACCCTAAAAGAGCTAAGAAGGTTCCGTCTGCGAGCTCCTGCCCGCGGCCTTTCCCACAGTCTCGTTCTAGTGGATTTGATGAGGTACATTTCGATTATTTGTCACATGTTTACTGAAAATGTGTTTATTTGAGCCTGTCAATGGATTCGTTGTTTGGTGGGCTCAGTGTGATGATACTGGAGGATTAATGGGGGATTTGATGACTTAAAGTTTAGCTTAAATTGGTATGGTGTTACTGAAGAGTTGTGATGTTATTGTTCATGGTATTTTTTTTTTTTTTGGTATGGTTTCATATGAGAAAGCTCACACTACTTCGATTATGATCGAGTTATATGACTCCTGGGTTTTTCTGTCAGCATCTTCCTTTCCTTGGTTTTCAAAAGTTGTCCGAGCAGACAACAATCATGTTATAAGGGAACCCTTCCGGAAGTAATACTGATTATTGGACAACCCCCTATGGAGAGCACATTGAACATGTTCACACTTCACAGTCTCGAGGAGTGTAACACAGTTAAACTATAATTTGTGTTATTGGATATATTCTATATTTAGTATCATCAGATGTTAAGCTAATGGAATTCATATATAAAGACCCTCATGTCTTTGCCCCAATCGCCCTCCTTACCAGATTTGTTAATGTAAGGTCCTTGCTGGTTCTCAAAACTATCTTACATAAAGAGGTTTCTTTTGCCAAATCACTCTTTGCTGCTTTCAAAGCAACACTTACTTCCTAAGTCAGTTCCACTTGTTCAAAAGCGTTTACACTGTGCTTTAGATCACAGTAAGTACCGCCTTAAGCAGTTCTGACATCTTCCCAAGAGCCAGATACGCCGAAGCACAGCCGATTCAGACTAAGTAGTTATAGGATATGCCATTCATGCAATTGGTGTTATAGGATACACCACTCTTGCAAGATGTTTCGTTCTCCTAGAATGTTTTGTTCCAAAATATGATCAACCACCTCAAACCTTATGCATCTTTCTCTTCCAGAGACACTCTGTTTATAATTATGTATTAGATTAGCTGACGGTGACTTGTGAGATCTGACTGCTCTTATAATAGGTCAAAGCAATAATTTGTAAGTTGAAGATTCTGAAACAGGTCCCTGTGAGTGCCAAGAGTGATTGTCATACCATATATCCAAAGTGTAGAAGATGGAATAACCTGGCTTCTTTCTAAAACTAATGATATAATATGATGCGGGTATTAATGGGTTTGAATGAGTCCATATTCCATAGAGTAATCGGACAATGTTTTGATTTGTTTATTTACATCTTGTAGATGGTGTGAATCAGGAAAAAAAACACAACTAGATTGAAAAACTCCTAAAGTAGCAATTCACAACCAAGTTGCAAAGCCAAGATGTCATATTGACACCTTATTGCTGAGTGCAGGTCAGACTTATCTGTGAAGAATTTGATCAAGGACTTACTCAGTTCAAGGTAACAGCTGGTATGCTATTTTAAAATATTTCATCATGATTTGTGATATCTACCTTGTGAAAATTGAGATTCCTTTAGTGAAGTTTATGGAGGAATGATCCAGCTAAATATATGATTCGTCAATGGCATGATCATCTATGCATCATATAAGTTTTGGTCAAATGACCCCTCTGTTTGATAATTCTTCTTCACGTTGTTTTCATTATTGCATGCTTCAGAAGTTATTGATCAGCAAAGAGAAGCATCGAAATCCCGATCAAGTTGGATTCTGTAAATTTAACTATTGAAGTGTTTGAATTTGACATGTATGTTGTTATGTGATACCACATGTCATTTTGTTATAGTCTTACCAATAGGTTGGTTTATCTTTCTGCACACTGATCCCACAAGTTCTTTTATTTATTATTTAACTCATTCTCGTATAGGTTCGAGTTGTAACATGGATATGTGGGTGGAAAAATATAAGCCTAGTTGCTTGGAGGAGCTAGCTGTTCATAAGAAGAAGGTATTCCTCTAAGTATATACACGCCCGCACACTGACATGTTTATAATTTAATATCCAACTTATCAAACGTGTATGATTGATCTTGGCTTGCAGGTTGAAGAAGTTAGAATGTGGTTTGAGGAGAGACTAAGAAAGTCTGCAGTATGTCTTCTCGTTTCCTTCTTTCTAAAATTCCATTAAAGCATACTTCTTAGGAACTCTCTTCTTCACATCCTGCTGGATACTGTTATTTGATGAAGCTACAGTCCTATCAAATATCAATAATCAACTGTAGGTAATATTTGGATGGTTCATAACAGAAGATGTGATTAGAAAATCATGTCTTTCTCTCCTGGAAGTACCCTCTAGGATTTTTTTAAACCTTAAACTCAACAGTTGTAACAAATATATTGTCAATTTCATACAAACCAATAGAAAGTACCTTTGAGTTCTGGGAGATAAGAAAAAATTATTGTTTTACTTGTGGGCTTACATTGATTTGTGCAAGTGTCTATAATGTGGAGGGCTATATTATTATAAATGTGACTATTTGTTTTTCCATTTTTTTCCTTTACATGATCAATATATTTGGTTTCATGCTCTGCTTAAAGTATAAAGCATATTATCAGTGCAAACCTTGTGTGACCATAAGAACAACTCACAAAATGACAATAATGAGTTTGACTCGGTAAAAGTCTCCCTT